GAGGAGGAGGAGGAGGAGGAGGAGGAGGAGGAGGAGGGGGAGGGGGAGATTTCTCCCTCTCTCGCCATCCTGCCCTAGGGGGCCCCGCCGCGGCCGACACCCCCCTGCGCGCGCGCGGGCTGGCAGGCGACGCGCCTCCCAGCCGGGAGCGGCGGCTGCAGGAGCGCGAAGGCGCTCGGGGGAGGGCTCGGAGGAGGCTAGCGAGGCGTCTCTCGCGCGGGAGGCTTGCGAGGCGATGCCCAGAGGAGGAGAGGATTTACATCTCCGATGATGTGGTTTGTCAGCCGGCGGGCGGTTTTTCATCGTTGTCGGCCTCTGGGGCCTGTTTTCGGCCCCGGGGACAACGAAAAACAAGAGGTCGGGACCTTTTGGGGACGCGTAATGGGTCGATTGAGAAGCTCTTTTTGTCACAGCGCTGGATGGCGGTCAGCGGGGTCGAGCGGCAGACCGGGGTGCGGAGGCGCTAATTGAGCACGGGAGGCGCGAAAAGAGGACGTGGGCGGCCGCGGGGGAGGTGCGAATGTGGCAGGTTTCAGTTCGACTCCTCGGACTCGTTTCGATTTGATTTCGATCGGTTCCAATTCCGATTCGAGTTCGGATTCCGATTTTGAATTCGGTTTCTCAGTTCAGGCCTTACTAGCTGGCCGATGTCCGCCGATTCGATTTCTCCCGACTGGGCTGCCGACGTGCGCGTTTTTTGCTCGGCGAGGCCAGCGCCAGGACACCTGGACCATCTTGGAGCAGCTTGGACTATCTTGGGGAAGACAGGCGCACGAAACCAAATGGTGCATGGGGAGCGGACGTCCGAGCGATGGCAAGGGGGAGGGGGCGGCCGCGGGGGAGGAGCGAAGGCGGAGCGCGCGCGTCAGAGCACGTGGAACCTCGTGGGCAGTGCTGGCGGCGGCAGCCAAAACATCTATGTGTACACAAACATGCGCTTTCGAAGGTCCGTGCGGATTAGTTGTATCTGCGCTGTGCCCCCCCGCGGCGCCTCTGGCGTCCCCCCTGCCGCGCTCCGCACTCCATGGAGGAGGGTCAAGCGCACATGCAAACAATCCGTGCGGACCTTGGAAAACTGGTCATGCTAATTTTTCTTTGTCGAGTAGGGTCGGAGTGTTAATGAGGTCGAAGGTCGAGAGCAGTTCCTGCCCATTCTCAACAGGTAGAAGACTCCCAGGATGCGTAATAGCCTGTTTGCGTGTTACCCGGTCCAGTCCCGCCGATAGCGCGCAGCCCCGTGTCGGCCTTCATTACACTGCTTGCATCGTATTGAGGGTCCTCTTTGGAGAATTACACGTTGGCGCCAACACTCGTTCTGAGCACACGCCCCCCCCTCTCCCCCCTCCCCCCATCTTTTTCTTCCTCCTTCTCCTCCTTTTTCTACCGATTACTGGACAAACCTAACAGTACCAGGGCATCCTCACGAGATTTCTTACACAGTGTCGTAGCAGTCAGGCCGTCCACTTAGATAGGCACCGCTGCCAGGCTTTCCCAGCAGGGAGGGATAACGGCACATCAGGAAGACCGGGCAAGCGGATCCTCCACGTCTACGATTCGTTCAGCATGGCCTGGCATTCATGCGTCCATCAGCGAGGCGGGGCAGTAAACCACCCACCATGCGCCCAAGGAAGCCCCTCTCATAGCTGTCGATACAATTCGATATTCTTGGGTCCAAAGTGCCGAGTGGCGGGCTTCTCAGGCAGCCATATCCACTACCACCACCAACTACGACGGTACAAACGCGCCCTCCTGCGAACCGTGGCGTGCAAGCCCGACGCCATTGCAGCCATCGACAATCTCACCTTTGCGCTAGATACAGCGGGCGGGATTGTAGAAACCGAGGGCATGAGTGAAACCCAAATGGGCTTCACACCCAGCCCTCGCCAGTTCAACGGCGCATAGAACCTCTATGTTACGACGTGGTGGAACAACGAACGGGCAGACCCCTTCCAACAGCTGCGCGGCACAATGAATCCAGCGGTTGGAAAACACCCACGACTTTGTCGTGAACACCTCCATGGACGACATCACTTGCACATGTAAGTTTCAGGAATGCGCCGCCACAGGTCAGGAAATCGAAGACCAGGTCAAGACCAGGCCAAGGGTATTACACTGCGGCTTGCGACGACGCTGCGCTTTGGTGGTTGGGAAGTACAACGCAACATAACTACCCACATTTGTACAGGTTGTAGGTGTAGGCAGCTATTGCAAAACGAGGTTCTTCCGACGCAGCAAACGGCTCCAGGGCTTGGCAATGCGGGAACTGATTGTCTTAGACCCGTACATCCCCGTGGGTTAGGGTACTCAGGGGAGATTGCACGCCGCATCGCGGCCATCCGGGTTGCATGGCGACAGTGCGGCATCTTCTGGATTTCGGGTACCCCGCGCTAGGTCAGCGGGCTCACGTGCGTTGCTTTGTGATGGGGGTGGGCCTAGATGGGTTCGCGGCTTCTGTGACGGTGCCCGCCCATGCAGATGCACTCGGCACAGCCATCGGCAAGTATTTCAGGACCTTGGCAATGGGAGGATGAGCTGGGGACGGGAGGACGGCATCATCGTATGTAACACGACGAAGCAGGTCTGTCAGTACAGGAGCGTATAGCGGGAAGCAGTGTTTTTGCGAGTACGCCGTCTTTTTTTTTTTTTGTTTTTGTTGTTTTTCCTTACCTAGGCTCTGCCTAGAAGGGTTCTTACTCTCTTAGCTTAAAGGGGCGGGGCAGTGGAAATCGCCCCGGGCGGTTCCCCCAGTCCCCGTCCCGCGGTTCCCCCAGTCGCGCCCCCTGGGTTCCCCTGGCTTAGCTTAGCTTAGCTTAGCTTACCTTCGCTTAGCTCAGCTAAGCTTAGCTTAGCATAGCTGAGCGTAGCCTAGCCTAGCCCAGCCTAGCTTAGCCTAGCTTAGCTTATCTCATCTTAGCTTAGCTTATCGTATCTTAGCTGAGCTTAGCTGAGCTTAAATTAGCTGATATCGTCTTAGCTTGGCTTAGCTTCGCTTACCTCATCGTAGCTTAGATTAGCTTAGCTTAGCTTAGCCCAGCTTAGCTTAGCTTAGCTTATCTCATATTAGCTCAGCTTAGCTTGGCTTAGCTTGTCGTAGTTTAGCTTAGCTTAGCCTAGCCTAGCTTAGTTTAGCTTAGCTTAGCTTACCTTAGCTTAGCGCCGCATGGCGCAGCGCAGCATTAACACATCATAGCATAGCATAGCATAGCCACGCATCGCATAGCATAGCATAGCGCGGCATATCATAGCCTATCATAGCATAGCATGGTCCAACATATCATAGCATAGCACAAATGCAGGTGTATATGTAAATGTAGTTGCTGGTGTAGATGTAGACGTTGCTTTCCTAAGTGTTCCAGCTCCTAGGTAGGGTCACACTGGGATATTTTTTTTTATTTATATATATATATATATATATATAATTTTTGTGTTTTAAGATATATTTATATATAAGAAAAGAGAATCACGAGTGGGTATTGTACCCGCTCAGGGGAACATGGTGCAGTTTTGGCAGCGGCATCTGTCACCTCCAAACTCGACGCTTCCTTGCTCAACGGCTCGCGCTTCGAGGATGGAGATTCGCTCTGCCCAAATTCGACGCCATGGCCTTGAATTTCAAGTCCGATATGCAGGTATTCGCCAACGTCGACGAAAACGTGGGGTGGAGCAGCAACCGATTTCTCGACGTAGCGATCTTGCAGGCCCGCCCCCCCGAGTGCTGCGACAGGACTGCGACCGTCCCAGGCGTGCTCTTTAGCTGGAATTGTATGTAACTGGGGTCAACTTGCCAGCATCGTGGAGGGGGGGGGGGGGCGAAGGTGGACAAGGAGGTTGACTTGTTCGCTTTATTGGTGCGACCGCGTTATGTGCGAAGGTGAGAAGGGAAACGATGCGCGGCCAACGGTTCCCGACCTACGCGGCCCGAGCTGGCCGCGAACATGAGCGACGCAACGTTTGCCCTTTGGTCGCCCTCGTCGTCGCCAACCCATGTCACTGGTGCCGAAGCGCATTTGTGGATCGGAGAACTGCCGCCGACCGCGCCGCGAGGGCCGCCCGCCGCCGCGGGATCGGCCGCCAGATCAGATCGAAGTGGCGCCGCGAGATCGTAAAGCCAAAATCGCTGGAGTGCCCGATCTGCCACCAGTTGGTTCAAACACTCGACGACTGCCGAGGGCACGTGCGAGGCCGCCGCCAGGTGCCAGAGCTCGTTCGCCCGTCGCGGGGGCTGCAGGCCCGCGGAGTGGCGAGGCGCAGCGGCGAGGCGGCCGCCTCGGCAGCGGCGAGACGCCTCGGCAGAAGGGCCGCTCACGCCGAAGGGGTGGCACCGCGGCGGGAAAGGCGGGACAGCCACGGGGGGCGGGTGCGATCAAGGAGCCCTCGGGGGCGGGGGCAGGGGTGGGGGGGGCAGCGGCGGCGACCTGGCCGACTGCGCCACGTCGCCTCACTTGCTCGCGCTGGCGTGCTCGGCGAACATCCGCGAGCTCAACTTCGCGTCGGAGTTTTGGCTAGCGCCGTTGAAGGGTCGGGCGGTCCACTCGGCCATTCCGACGAGGCAAGCGCCGAGTTGGATAAAGCGGCGAGGGCCGCGACGCGGGGCCGCCGCGCGGCCGTGGGGCGGTAGCGCTCGTAGGGGGTTGTGCAGCGGATGACGGGGGGGTGCCGCCCCAGCATAGTCTCGCGATCGCGCGGGAGATTTTGGCGCAGCAGGCGACGCCCCAGGGCCCCGTGCTCATCGGCGAGACGTTTCTGCAGTGGTGCGAACAGGGGACTTATGAGAGGGGCGACGAGATGGGCGACTGCGACCGCCTTGCGAAGGCGCAGTGCTGCGACGCGACGACGCCGAACTTGCGGGTCATCGCGCGCGGCAAGATCAATATGGGCGGGGAACAGTGCGAGCAGTTGCTGGGGTTTCCCCGCGGAGGTCTTCCGGTGCTCATTCGGCCTAGCCTAAGCTCATCTCGGCGGGGGGCTGGGGCGCGCCGTCGAGTCCCAGTTGCAGCGCCGCCGGCGTCAGTCATAACCCGTGCTCGGCCCCCGCCGCCCGCGCCCCCGCGCTGGCTGCCCCTGGGGCCTCCGCGCGCGAGCGAGGTAATCATTTCCGACCGAATTAGCATGGGCTCAGTCAGGACGACGAGTCTTCCGCGACAGGCCCAGCGCCGTGGTGGTCGCGTGAGCGATCTTGCGTCTGGCTATGTAGCA